GATGTAGAAATGTTTATAATGTCAAAGATATGGGGAGATTTGATACAGAGTTATGAAAGGTTATGTGAATTGAAAAGGTTTGTTTGAGAGACCTAAACCAGGACTAAACTAGAACTAAATCATAGGACTATACCAGGACTAAACCAGGACCAACCAAAGACAGAACCAATCCTCAGACAGCATTGATCTAGGACTGAACTAGAACTACATCAGTACTCAATTCCAGCTCAAATTACACCAGAGCTAAAACAAGACCAACCCAAGACTGAACTAGGGCTGAGTCAAGACTGATCAAAGAAATAAACTAGAACTAAACCAGGACAAAACTGAAACAAAATAAAACTAAATTACAGCTCAAATTGCACCAGAGCTAAACCAGGACTAAACCAAAACTAAGCTAGAACTAAACCCGAACTAAACCAAGAATAAACTACAACTAAATTAGGACTGAACAAAGAGTTAACTAGAACTAAACCAGGCCTAAATTAAGACTAAACAAGAACTAAACTATGTCTAAATAAGGGCTCAAACTGGAGCTAAACCAGAGCTAAACCAGGACCAACCAAAGACTGAACTCGGGCTAAACTGGGGCTGAGTCGAGACTGATCAAGGAATAAACTAGAACTAAACCAGCACTAAGCCAAGACTAATTTAGAACTAAACCAAGACTAAACTAGAACTAAACCAGGACTAAGCCAAGATTAAACTAGAACTAAACCAGGACTAAAGTAGGACTAAGTAATGGTTTAAACAGGGTTAAACCAGAGCTAAACCAAAACTAGAGTTGTAACCAGGTCTGAACCAGGTCTGATGAAGGACTAAACCGGGACTAAACTAGAACTAAACCTGGACTAAACTAGGATGAGACTAGATGGTTCAATTAGGACTATCCCAATATTAATCCAGGTCTGAAGTAGAGCTAAACCAGGACTGAAATCAGGACTGAAGCAGCATTAGGCGTAGACCAGGACTGGACCATAAACCAGTGAGTTGTAAGCAGTGTTTCTTTTTTAGTTTAAGTCAATATGGATCTAATTGGACTGAAATAAATAATTAAATTGCAATTAAACGGGCACTGTGTAGCTGTGCTTCATGGTGGACAAATCACCTCTCTGTTCTTTTATTACTTTACCTAAAATGCTCCCCTGTACGGTATTACATTTATCTATCTCCTAGAAAACTTGAGGAGGTGCAGGAGACTTCACAAGGCCAAATTACAGGTCAGGTCTGCGGAGAGGCAACCCTGCTCAGAAAGGATGGCTTTCAGTGTATTGGTTTTTGTGTGGAACATTCCAGACGAGGCAACATGGACCTATAAGAAGTGGATAAGACACTCCCCCTCCTCTGTCCTGGTGCGAGATCGACTAGTGGCCGCTCCAGGTACTGCAAGAAGTCTCCAATAGAGCACAGTGCATCCACAGCTTTCACAGAGGTTAGATTTTGTAGGATTCTTCTGTGTTTTTACAAAATGAACTTTGCAGAATTTTTAAATCGTTAAAGCGCCTAATAGTTGGCTTTGTAAGATTTAGCCTAGCCCCGCTCTGAGCCTGCAGCCAGCATCCTGATTGGTTAGAACTGCAATTTTCTGATGTCACATGGTATTCAGGAAGTAATGTGGAAAAAGTAAACTTTTTTGGCATTTCACGCCATAGAGCACACATCATTGAAAAAAAACAAGACGTTCATCTTCCAGATCTTATTGTACTTCCATGCAAGCCAACTATAATATCTCCATGGAAACAAACAGATATTTACATATATATTGGGCTGGGTATTATTAAGAAGTTGCCGATACGATACGTACACTACCAGTCAAAAGTTTTAGAACACACTTTTTCCCGTTTCAGTTTGTGTCATTGCACTCTGAAATGAAAGCATAGAACAAATAAGCAATTTGAGTTGACAAAGAAATCATGCAATCAATTTATAGACCAAAACAAATGCTAAACTTTTCATACCTGAAAGACATAACAGCTGAACACACTCGTGACATTCTTTCTACAATAGGAATCAAATATGCTTCAGAAAGTTCTTCCCAAGTCTGTTGCAGAAGTTCCCATAAATGTGTGGCACTTGTAGTTTGCTTGGCTTTCACTCTTCTGTCCAGTTCATCCCAAAACCAACTTGATGGGGTTTAAGTCTGGAGACTGTGCTGGCCTCTCCATGTTCTGAAGCTCACCATCTTGTTCTTTTTTCCTGATGTAGTTTTGGCAGAGCTTGGACTTGAGTCATTATGTTTTTTGGGTTTTTTTTTTACCTCTGGTTGTTCAGTTCTCACCTTTGTACAATTTCAAGCTCTTCAATGGACTTGCATGACTTGAATTGCAATAAATAACTGGAAAAATTTGGTTGTTCTAAAACTTTTGACCGGTAGCGTAGGCCGCGATACGATACATATCTTGATACAGTGCACTTCGATATGATTCAATCCGATATATTTCATACTGATTCGATATGGTTCAATAAAAAATAAAGGCTAAATCATGGCTGTGACACTAAAAGTCTTTCTTAAACCACTTCTTGTGCAAAATTAAAATGAAACACAAACATTTTAATCATCAAAACAGTGAATATGTCAAATGTGTTGCATAAACAAGTTTCCTTCATCTAAAAAAAGACCAAAACTGTAGCGCTGTAGCAAAATAATTTAGTGAAATATACCAAAAAAATACTCTTGGTGATATATCGATACAGCAGCCCACGATATCGATACTGTATCATCACATTAAACAGTACAATATAGTGATATTTTGATATTTTTCTCACCCCTAGTTATCTTTAAAACAGATATAAATCAAATAAATGCCGTGATTTTTATGGATATTAAACATATTTGGCTTCATGCTTAAAAAGTGTTATAGATTATACTGATAAGCCCACACTAAAGACACAGTAAGAAACCATCACTTTGCGTACACACTCTGGCCTTAAACACATTATATTGCGACGCTCAATCACAAATATTAGCAACCAACATCTTATTACATCTGGAGAAACAGGACTCTCTGGTTAATTACATCATTATCTATTGCCACTCCCTGCCAGCTCGCGCGCTAATCACGTCTTCTGGGGAATATTTATGAGGGCTAGGTGCGGCGCTAACAAATCAGATTGCATTATGGGAAACGACAAAGAAGGGAGCGATAGAGGCGCGGCTATAAACAAGGTTGCGAGGGGTTAAGAGTCTATGCACTGTCTCTATCATGTAATTAATCTGCTGGAATCGCATCGCGCACCCTCACCTGTTGAGCCCGCCATGTTTTCCGGAGAATTTGAGACAACAAGGTGGAATTGAATCGGGAAAAGAGCGGATGAGAGGGCTAATAAGTGCGCTGACAGAGGAGGCGTGGAGAAGAGGAAAAAGGATTTAATAATTAAGCGTCTTCTGAATGTTTAATCTCTCTCTGATTAATGTCAATGGAAAAACCTATTTGCCCCGCGTACACCTGAGGGGAATTCTTATGAGCTGTTATCGCCGCGGTGGAGACGGGGCCGCGGCCGCTGTACAGTCAGATACAGCAATAAAGAAGCTGAAATGAAATCATTGGCTGGTAATTGGTATTCAAAAGTTTCTCAAGTTGAATAGTAAGGAATAGACTCGATACCGACTCTGATACCACGATGATAACAAAAAAACACTAATTAGAATGTGATTTTCAACTTTAAATCATAGTACCGTATTTTTCGGAGTATAAGTCCCACCAGGCAGAAAATGTGTATTGAAGAAGAATAAACATATATAGGTCGCACTTTTTTGGGGAAATCTATTTTATAAAATCAGAGACCAGGAACCAACATTTTATCTTGAAAGGCAAGTAATAGTAAAAACAACCGAACCGAGAACAACAGACTGTTAACGTCACATATGAACAGTTCTTCAGATAAATATAATATAAACAACAGAACAGAACAAGTTTACCAAACTCTCCATCTCACTCCAAATCACTAAATCCATTCAATTCTTCATCCTCGGTGTCACTTCTGAGTAATTCCATGACCTCCGAAGGTAAACAGAGCGCCGCTTCCTCTTCTGTGTAGCTGTCGTCAGATTCAGCATCAGTTCCAGTTAGAATTATTCCGGTCTTTCTGAATCCTGACAGGATGGTTTCGGTTGTCTTTATGAGTTTGATTAAATTTAACATTTTCAGTGGTACAGCAAGTAATGGTGCGATCAACTGACATGATACCAGACAGGACAGCGGCTCTTTCTGCAGGAGACATGTGCAGTAGAGTGGTACAGGAGTAAGAGGAGCAGCAGATACTGACATACAAGCCTAGAGCGCCCTCTTGCTGCTGAAAATTTTAATATATAAGTCGCACCAGAGTAAAAGTTGCAGGACCACCCAAACCATGAAAAAAAGTGTGACTTATAGTCCGAAAAATACAGTACTCTCTTTTGTATTACCATGGGGTTTTATCTGTGCAAACCTTCAGTCATTCATGGCAGTATACAGTAGACTGCATATATAAATGGACATAGCTAACCAAATAGAAAATAAGCATGGGGGGCTTCCAGCTCCGTTAACTCCGGCTCCAATTCACTTTGTATTGAAAAAACTGCTGCTGTCAGGTTCATTTTTTTGGTCTTAAATGTTCATATTAACCTGCTCTACATGATCCTGGTGTTTTCAATTATTTTATTTGTCTGTAGATCAGTTTCTGAATATGGAACGCTGCCTCAAATTTGCCCCACAACAGCCAGCCTCAGTGAGCTTCATTTGACTGGAGCTGAACACTGTGGGTGACGTCACACTCCCGTATTATACTTCTTCATACAGTCAATGATCGTATACTAGTCTATGTGGTCTTATGCTTGTTCTGATACAGCTCAAGATCTAAAACTGTTCAGAAAACCTTAATTTCTGTCCTGTGAATGACACTTCTTCAGTATCGATACCTGCTCAAATGAGTATCTCGTTTCGATAATTTTTGTTTGTGCTAGTTTGAATATCAAGTAGTACAATTCTCTCTTCACAATGACCCTTGCCCCCTGACCTCACCTGATGTAGTGGAGAGCACGTCCGTGGTGTTTCTCAGGCCCATGAAGTCAAACTGGTACAGCCTCCAGTACTTCTGATCCGACGTCTCCACTGAGTTCCTCTTCCACTTGTAAATAATCTCGTCTCGTGGGTAGCCGTCTAAAAGCAAGGGAATAAACATTGAAGGTTATTTTTAGTCTTTCGTTTCGTGGTCTTTTAGTTCATCTTTCGCCTGATGTTCTTCACTGTTTTAATGTGTTTTATGATAATTATGGGATGTATTTTTATTACTGATCACCATTTTTTAGTTATGCTTTGTAATATTATAGTTATGGCTTCCATTACTACTACTACTACTACTACTACTACTACTACTACTACTACTACTACTACTACTAGTACTACTACTACTAGTACTACTACTACTACTACTACTACTACTGTTACTACCACTTTTGCTACTACAAATGCTGTTGCTTCTAATGCTAGTACTCCTACTACTAGTAATAGTTGTTCTACTACTACTACAACTACACTACTAACAACTATTACTATTACTGTTGTTACTACTGCAACTGCTACTACTACTATTACTCATCATCTTACTGTTACTACTGCTGCTACAACCACTACTACTGCTATTCCTACTACTTCCTTGTACTCAAACTCCTACAACTACTACCCTTACTACTACTACTACTACTACTACTACTACTACTACTACTACTACTACTACTACTACTACTACTACTACTACTGCCATTGCTCTGTCTTTTACTGTTACTACTCTTACTTCTACTACCACTTTTGCTGCTACCAGTGTTTCTAATCCTACTCCTCATACTACTACTACAACTGTTACTACTACTACTATAACTACAACAACTATTACATTACTGTTTTTACTACTACTACTACTATTACTCCTCATCTTACTGTTAATACTGCTAACACAAGCACTACTACTACTACTACTACCATTGCTAATACTTGTACTCAAAATATTACAACTTCTACTCATACTACTCCTACTATACTTCTCTTACTACTACAACTACTATTACTTACTACTGTTACTGCTGCTACCACAACTACCACTATTACTACTGGTATTCCTACAACTTACTTGTACTCAAACTCCCACAACTACTACCCTCACTATTACTGCTACTACTACTTCTACTGCCAATCATGAAGCAACAAAGGCTTAAAATATGCCGTGTTGTCAAAACATGTTGAAGATGACAGTGGAACATGCAAGATGAATGCATGCTGCCTTCACTGTGTGCAGGATTTTAAATGATTGATGCTAAATTTATACTAATGTATTCAGGAACTTTTCTCAGTTCAGAAGACGCCTGCATCTACACTGCGCATTTACTGTAGACATATGTATGAGTGTGTACTGACAAGATCAACAGTGTGAGATACTATATGGTGTGTTTAATGAAGCTTTAAAGGATCAGTACACAGTTTTTTTTTCTCTATTTCACTATTTTGCACGTAAATAAATTCCTAATATGGATATGGCTGCCTATTTCCTCCTATAAACAAGTGCCAGCATCGGTGAGCTTCATTTGACTGGCGACAAATGCTATGGGAGACGTCACACTCCCTTAGTCCACTTCTTTATACAGCCTGTGTACGACCAGTTTAGGACCAGTCTAGTTTTATTACATCATAGAGACCAGAATGCATTGGGAAAACTGGAAAAACAACAGAGTGCACCAACAGGTCTCCAACTAGACACAACTCGACGGGATGACGGGGAAACACTCTTTATTAAACAATTTCGGTGTAAAAGGGCAAGGGTTTTTACACTTCACTTCGCTTGAGCTGTTCAAAGATTAATAATTTCCACATCTTTGCCAAAAAGCTGATTAATCCGGTTCATACACATGAGATACAGCTTGATCCCATTTTAATTATTTTATTACAAAAATCAAGTTCAAATCTAAGCTTAGTAGACTTTTTTTTTTTTTTTACAACCATTAAGATTATAAGATATAAGAGCGGCACAGGCACCTGTACAAACTCATTTGAAATCAGCATTTGACCGAGACACAGTGACCCAACTCAGACAAACATGTCCAAAGACTGGTTCAACTACGGTCCTGAAAACGACGACCTCCTCTACAGCCAGGAATTCAACCTGATGAGAGGAGCTGCTGGTAGCACCCACCATCCTACACCAAACCTAATGTTGTGCCCAACTCGAAGCCCAATTTAAACCCCAACTTATAGCCCAACTTGGAGCTCAACTTGAAGCCCAACGTAAAGCCCAATTTGAAGCTTGATTTGAAACCCAACTTGTAACCCAACTTGAAACCCAACTTGAAACCCAACTTGAAACCCAACTTGAAACCCAACTAAGGAGGCACTACACTCCAAGTTCGCGGGTCCAACTTGGCCCTCCAGGGAGTCTAATTTGGCCCACAAAGTGCTCTGAGATTATAAGAGGAATTTATTTTGATTCAAGTTCCATTTCAATTTCAGAAAGCTTCAAAACAATAAAAAATAGCAAAACAACTTGGATCTCAACTTGAAGCCCAACATGAAGCCCAAATTGAAGCTTGATTTGAAACCCAACTTGAAACCCAACTTGAAACCCAAATTAGGAGGCACTATATTCCAAGTTCGCGGGTCCAACTTGGCCCTCCAGGGAGTCTAATTTGGCCCACAAAGTGCTCTGAGATTATAAGAGGAATTTATTTTGATTCAAGTTCCATTTCAATTTCAGAAAGCTTCAAAACAATAAAAAAATAAAAGTGTTGTATTATGCGATAATGCAGTAAGTGCACGGTTAGCATGCTCGCTGTTGTTGTCTTTACCGAGCTCAGCCTCTTCACATTTATCTCTGGTGTCTAATGGAACATGACACCTCTAACCCCACTGGAGAAGAGTCCCATATGGTCTGAAGTGTATCATATATTTTCGATATAGTGCTCGAGTTGGTATTGATTTTTCCAACTCTTTTTAAAGGAGAGACCGGCTCACACCATTTACTACACCACAGATAATCCCTGCAGAGAGGTTCTGTCCTTCAGCCATAAAATCGAGGTTGTAGTCTTCAGAACAAGCATTAAAGCTGCATTGTGTAACTTTCCTGGCGGAGGGTCCATCAAATGCTTTTCTCCGTGGCGATGTGAGTGCTTTTTCTGGAATATTTCACAGTATAGCATTAGACTTTTCTGTCTCCATGAGGACCAAACCGAAATAGTCAAAAAGCTCATATTAATTTTGAAATATGTTACAATTTTCTCTTCAGAATAATACAATTTTGACAGTTCATTTAACTCTTCAACACTTCTAAACATATACAATTACCAAATTCTTAATAATACGTCATTTACTTTGGACTTTAATGAATAAAATGTAAAATTCAAAACCAAAAAAACAAAACAAAAACATTCTCATTTTAATTCTAAACTTCTCTCTAAAATTATTAAGGCTATTTGACATTGCAACTTATTTATCTTTTTTACAATTCTAAATATATACAACTACCAAATACTAACTAGTAGACAAAAGTTTAAAGGTGCACTGTGTAACTTTTCTGGTGGAGGGTTCATCAAATGCTTTTCTCCGTGGCGATGTTAGTGCTTTTTCTGGAATATTTCACAGTATGGCATTAGACTTTTCTATCTCCATGGAGACCAAACCGGAATAGTCAAAAAGCTCATATTAATTTTGAAAATTATAGAATTTCTCTTCAAAATGACCAAAGAATAATATGATTTTGACACTTCAGTTCATTTAACTCTTCAACACTTCTAAACATATAAAATTACCAAATTCTTAATGATTTGTCATTTACTTTGGACTTTAATGAATAAAATGTAAAATTCAAAACAAAAAAACTTTCTCATATTAATTCTAATCTTTTCTAATGTTATTTGACATTGCAACTTATTTATCTTTTTTACTCTTCTAAATATATAAAACTACCAAATACTAACTAGTAGACAAAAGTTTAAAGGTGCACTGTGTAACTTTTCTGGTGGAGGGTGCGTCAAATGCTTTTATCCAAGTTACAGGTCAGATCTGTGGAGAGGCGACCCCGCTCACAGTCAGAATGTTGTTTTTCTAGGTATTTTTGAGCTATATAACCACCCGTGATTGAATAAATGTAAAGTAGAGCTGTTTAATGTCACACTGTGGAACATTCCAGGCAGAGCAATGACATTTCCATATAAATAAGCAGGTGACAAAGTACTAATCAAAAAGTTCCATAGTGCAGCTTTACCTGTGTTTTAGTAAAATGAGCCGTCTAAGCTGACGTCGGCACTTTAAATCTGAGTGTAATTTAGTATGTCTCTAAATAACAGGTCATGTGCTGCCTTCTATTTGCTTTGCGCATTCTGATGGTAATTTTCTAATGTGGGGGCTGGATCTGAAACCTATTAAAAAGCTTTAATGCTAGACCCGCGATGCATTCACTGACCTGCGCATACTTGAAAAACACATTATCGCCTGCAAGGTTATTGGTAATATATTAACAAGGATGTGGGGGGAAAATAAAATATAAAATGGCTTGGTTTGACAGAAATAGGTCGTATGAAAATGAGTGGCAGTTTTGGTAAGAGCAAAATTTTAGATACAAAACTAATTATGTAAAGAGTTTAAAAGTCATATATTGCACGAAAATTGACTCTTGTGAGGTTAAAGCCAAGTTATAATGTTGTAACCTCATCAAAAATAGACTAGGAGTGTTTTTTTTGTTTTTTTTTTCCATTCACACATGTTTGAGTAATCCTGCTTTATTAGGCTGTCTACATCTCAAGGTCAAAATGCTCTGTTCCAACTTGTGATGTCATCTAGCGGTAGTTTTCAGGTCAACAGCTCCTCTTACCTTAAAATGATCCCCCATTTCCCCCCCTACGGTTTTGGGAGCTTGCTTTAGTTTGGTAAATATAACAATGTACTCAGTAATTTAAAAATATAATGGCATTAAATCTAAGACCTCCTTTCAAATTTAATAACAGAATTTTTTTTTTTAAATCTACTTGCATTTTGCATCTAGATGAGTGTTTCCCAACCTTTTTTTCTGGGGACCCATATTTTAAACGTCACAAATCTTCGTGACCCAAGTCAATAGACCAAATTTTTTTTACCATTATTGAACATTAATGAGGATATTTTATTGTTGACCGAGTGAT